AAGCGGTTCTGTCGAAAAGAGCATTTGGTGGTGGGTCTGTCATGGTCTGGGGTGGGATAGCTGGATCTCATAAAGTAGCCCTGGTGGAAATACAGAGCAACATGAACAGCGAGGTCTACCAGTCCATGCTCGAGATGAACTTGCTACCATTCCTGGAAGCGGAGGAGGAGGAAGGAATTGAGTACACCTTCCAACAAGACAATGCGAGGCCTCACGTATCTTCTTCAACTAAAGAATGGCTGGCACGCAATGGCGTGGCAACCGTCCAGTGGCCAGCAGTGAGTCCAGATCTGAACTGCATCGAGCACTGCTGGGGCAAGATGGCTCTAGCCGTCTATGGAGGGGGTAGAGGCCCCTATAGTACCAAGGATGAACTCCGACAGGCAATTTTTAAGGCCTGGGATGACCTGACACCCGAAGATATCAGCACTCTCACTAAGTCGACTCGCAGTCGCTGTGTAGAGGCGATTAAGTGTCAAGGTGGTCCTACGAGGTATTGTTAGTTTCTTTTTGTGTGAATCGTGTCTCCTCAGTGACAGGAATGTTGAATTACAGTGCCAATTTAAGATGACCTTGGTGGGTTCTATTTTTTTGGAAGCGCGGAAAAATTGACCGTTTCAGAAATTTTACTAAAGCGAGCGAATAATGATACGACTCTGATATATTTTTGTTCCTACATAAGTGATACTCTCACACACGAAATCTCACAACCTGAGTCGCAGTAATAACAGAGAAATCGAAAAAATACTGTATGTTCTATTATTTTGTGAGGGGGTTTATCTCGGTTGAAATTGTCTACGGTGATGACCATGGTTATGGAAACTTGTCTTTGCTCCTTGATGGCATTGATCGACCCCTCATTCGCAAGAAGGAGTACTATAGCTTCATCACAAATGTAGAGAAGTGCCATGATTTTGCCTGGGCCCGTCTGGTGAATCACGACTCAATTGTTGTGAGGGATTGGAACAAGAAGAAAAGATCGTGGGAGCTCGTGGATTCGGCGCTCGAAACGTTCGAACCCCTCCGAATTCCTAACAACGTGCGAGCTCTCGCTACTGGTTTCATGCCACAAGGCGTCCTTTACATCGTGATGGAGCCTGTCGATGATATTGAAATTCGGCTCTTCCATCGCCATCGACGAGGATAATGATTGACAATGAGTTGGTTTCATAGCTTTAGACGAGATCAGCAGCGCTTAGTTTCGATTTCTCAAAAGCATTGTTATTTTGCGTTGAGTAAACTCTTACACCTCCTACACTCCGATATCCAAATAGCCATAGAGTGAATGAGAGCGCGACCCTCCAATCTGTGTCCGAGCTCTACGTTCGCAGTTCCTCTCTCAGCTCTGTTAGCCAGAAGCCAGTCGTGATGATACTCCTTCTATGCCACGACTTGAAGATAGCGGTTTTGCCGGCACAGAGGTTCTCCCAGCCGTATAGGTTCCATTTAAACTGTTCCTAACTGATCATTTCATCGGATGAACTGGAGAGGCAGGGACCTAACAATTTCTCGGGGTTGCGCGTTGCGCGACTGTTAAAGACCTCCACTGTCACAGACTCCGACTTGACGTGGGCTTCCATCTGATGTCGTGAAAGTCCTTCTTCTCACCCAAAACCAAATCCGGGCGTCCGCAAATAGCATCAGCCAATGATATGGTATCTCACAAGGGTAAGTTTCCCCACCTTTATATCCACGAGGGCACTGACACGGCTTTCGTAGCTGGAGTGGACTCCGACAACGGTTCTTTTCCCACTCACAGAACACGACGCTGGTGCCCGACAGCATGAGGGTGATGCACGCAAGCACAACGTTTTTGTCTCACGCTGCGCTGACGTGCGGTAACTTCTTACCGCACCATAACATCATGTCGTTGGTCAGCCTTCGACTTCCTTGACTAGCTACATGCTGTTCTGCAATCGGCGTGAGGCTCTCACTCTGGATCTCAGTCTGACAGAGTCTCTTTGGTTGAGGGAGGTTTGCAAGGTCGGCCCCATAGAGACACTACAATCCATCATACATGAGTTCATCGGCCCACACAGCCATGAGGTCGGTGCTGGAGAATAATCGGTTCGTTATGGAACTGGATCCACCTTGTCCGAAGGGCTCTCTCATTGACCTTAAACTCTGACGTTGACCATCTAGCTGCGTTCGATAGGCGGGCTAACCGGGTGTATACTTATGACCTCAACCACCGGCAGTGCATCAGTATTGTAGAAATCAGAGGATTACCGCGCGCCGACGAAAAGAAGTTGGTTGTGAGATACACTAGAGATCGCATATTTATATGCCTCTTATGGAGAGGGGATATCTCGCTGTACGACTGTGATATTCGGAGAGGCTTATGGTCCTCGCAGGCCAGGAAGCTGGTCTCGTATCCGCATGAACAGAATCGCTGGCTCGCAGTTGACATTAGTTGCTCTTGGTGCCAAACTCATCTGACGGCTCAGATTGTTCGCGGTGGTTTTTCCGCCTACCATCACTCCTCGTTGGTCTTCGATGATTCTGAACCACCTCAGATCGTGCGTGGAGCTCGCGAAACCTTGTTCAGCAACAAAGAAGAAATGCAAGATGGTATGAGAGTCCACTTTGTCACCCATGACTGTGTCATAATACGAGTTCTGAACGATGTAGGGAAAGTCAAGTGGATGCTCAGACACCTCAACAACAATAGGATGGAGCCATTGTCAATTCCCCCGGAGGCGACTACTCTAGCTGCTGGACGTTTGCCGCGCGGCATAATTCATACTGTCGAGGAAAATGCCCAAGATCCTGGTGCTTGCACTATTCGACTTCTCCATCGCTATCAGTGACTAGGACGTCATCTTGCTTTTCTCCATCTTCAATAGTACACCGCTATTTCAGGGATTTCATCGATTCTTATAGCTATGAATTGAGTTGCAGAGTATACGATCTCATCTGCTGTATATTCCGCCGTTACTGGTGTTGCGATCGGTGATGTTGAGACCACTAATGATATTCCGTAATCGGTCAATCACAAGTGTGACATCGCTTATCGCTATAGCTGGCACGGGAAATGAGCACACGAAGATCGAGGTTCGTCTGGAGCTTCGATCAGCTAGAACATAACGAGGCAGATCCTAGCAGCAGGACCATACAAACAGACTTCGACCTAGTGGGAGTTAGAGGTATCGCCTCAATGAATAGAAAGTTCTTCGACTCCCATTCGTTTGTCCATTCAACGATTCCCAACTCATACTCACGAGTCGTGAGTAACTTCATCTCGTTCATTTATTACGCTCTAGTAATCCGCAAACTGTTCAAGGCAAATCCGGCTAGGGTATAGAAACGTGATTTCAGAAACAAAAAAACGGATCATGTCAAGCGAACTGCCATTGTACGGGAATAGAGCACATCGTGATGACCCAGCAAGAGACCTGACGAATATTCAGCGTGATGGATGGGTTCCTAAAGAACCGTCCCTCTCACCTGAGGATGGCCCAACGCTACTCATACTCCATTCTATCGCTCCTGTTCTCTTCTGATTGCTCAGAGCGTGAATTATCTACACGGGACGTGATTTATCTCGAATCAGTAGAACTAAGGAATCACCATCTGTTCGCTAGCCTTATCTTCCGCCCGAGATATCAAAGGAGTGTGTAACACTAGAAGACCTCCCTTAGCCACGACTCCTACCGCAGCTTGAACCTCTTTGTGTAAGCTGATCAACCAACCCGCATATTCGAGGCGGTCGTGATGCTCACACACCCTTCTGCAGAAGCCACGAGCTCCCGTCCCAGCTGGCCGAATGAAACCCTCTCCCGTTTCTTAATTTGTGGATAAGCATGCAGGATTACCACGTCGAAGAAGAGCCTCGAAGCAGCCATAGCCTCAAGCTCGTTCTCGAGGTCATTTCTCAGAAGGATTGATACCTGAATAGAATTAGATTCTCAACAAGATCCACGCGAACCTCCACCTTGTCATCAACTCCATTGATCTTAGAATTAGTTTCGGCAAAGCGTACGGCCCTGACAGCTTCGTCCAGCATCACTACTTCCGCAGCAGCACCTTCCTTAGCTGCCCTGATACCCCAACCGCCGTACCCACAGGAGACATCCAACACAGTACGGCCTCGGACACACTGAGCGACAATAACAGGAGACCGTTCGCTGTCGACCTACGGGTTGTAATCGTTGCCGCATATCAGCTTCATGGAAAGGCCACATACTCTGATGATGCACATCCATGAGCGGCAGCTGGAAGTGCGTTTGTCCCTCGACAACGTAGGCGCCATCAAGAACACTCTCGCTTCCTCGGACTAGTGTAGTAGTGAATTCCTGACAATAGCAAGAACACCATCTTCGGAGTGACACAAATCAATGAAGGTGTCATGTCGGACGAACCTTGCCATCGGCCCCATGGCGCTCCTTCCTCCAGTTCATTTTATGAACAACCACCGCTGTTATATCGTGAATGCTATCGCACACCTCATCTCGGACGACCTTATCCCATGAGAACTCTTCCCCGTAGGTATCGAATCTGGCCGAGAAGGATAAACCCACAATGCTGTACAGCAGAAGCTGCCGTCCCCACTTGAAAATCAGTATACTGCCACGTCCTTTGTCGTCAGCAGCTCGCAGTAGGTCACAGGTGATTCCGGGCAGACCATCAGCCTCCCCTGTGATGAGTCTACCACACCGATGCCGAGCTATAGTGGGTAGTGCCAAGCTACGAGATACTGCTTTATGGGCTCGACGACGGAGCAATGCCTGAGCCATGACCATGCATATGTGCAACGTGGCGGAGGGCTCACAGATATATAATCTTCCGTCACTGTAGAGGATGGTGAGCTCCTGGTGAGCACTCGTACTGGGATAGAGCTCGACCGATTGAGTAGACCCAGTCCAAGGTCTGACCCATCCGGCCCTAGCAGCCTCACGATGGAGCCTGGGGGCAGGGGGTTCAACTCCTTGATGTTCTCTATCTGAATTACAACGACATGGAGCCTACACTCCCTGGGAACAGCTGTAGACGAGATACCTCTGGCCAGTAGACCCAGGGGTGTCCTGACTCAGTAAGCCTCTGTGGTAGAGGGCCGCAGCTTGGCTTCATCATCGACTTCTCCCGTAGTTGCGCTACGGGCAGAGGATTGCTGAGTGTAGCTAGGCTACGACGAAGGATGGTGACACCAGGTATACGAGAAAGGGATGGCCTCATTAAGAGAGAAGATATCATACAATCACCTACGAGGTGATACTGTGTAGGGAGGATGAATTCAATTGGGAGCCACGGCTAAGCTTAACTGAAAGCTCCACAACAACATCGATGATGTTCGGTCTAGCATTCATTGAGACCTATTGTCCCCAGAAGACTAGCTCAGCGTACGAGAACTTAGTAATAGCCATGATCAACATAAATCGCTAGTAATAGTGAACTATTCCACTTATTGCATCCTAGCACAACTAGATAACACAACTCGTGTGAAGTCACGAAGCAGTAGCTGCAGACTTACAGCTTATAATAGAGGGAATAGTGTCGACCTTGGAGGGATCCTTAACCACATCCACAATCAACTGTATAAGGTCTACTCTACTAAGTGTCGAAAGCTCAGCTGCCATGCCCGCCGATAGCATCCGTGTGTAGGGCCGTATGTTGAGGAAGTCCTCGATGGGTGGTATCTGTGAGCTGTTGAGTATCTCCAATGCCGTGTGGTAATGGTCTCGATGATTGAGGAAGAGGGATATCATCTGCTGCTCTCTCCAGCACTGCCGCACCACTTCCACCGTCTCCTGAAGACGACAACAACAGATACAGTGTTGAAATATATGTTCGCTCCCCTCAGCTGAGTCCGAGAATTTCCTCACAACTAGAGAATTTACATACAAATTCGAGTAGAATGTACAGATGAGAGTTAATGGGTATTTTCCCAGGCATGTGATCGACAATATTTTACCACACTGGATAAGGTACGAACTGCTGTGGGGCATGCTTACCAGTTTCCGACCATCGTCATCAATGAGGCGAGCAATGACCTCAACACACGAGTCACGATCCAAGCTACGGAGTAGAGGACTGCTGCTATCGCTAGACGAGCATCTGAATACAGTAAATGCATACACAGTGCAGCCCAGGACTTACTCGGCGCTGAGACTCTCCATCGGCATCAAGGCACCAGGTACTATGGGCTGCAGTGAGGACCATTGACCGACTTCTGCTGTGTCGAAACAGGTGTAGTAAAACGCGGATGCCGCTGAGGCTTGCATGGTCATCTTGAATAATCAGTACTATGACCACCGTTGAAGACTAATGAACTCAAAACACGAAGTTAAAAGGGAATGGTATGATACTTCAAGAGAGAGCAGTTCGGATCCAACAATGCAGACCGCCCCTCTCAGTGATGTCCTCTGATATAGCGTTGAAGGCATCAGCACTGACGCGATTTCGAGCGTCAACGGCCAAACCGGCTCTAATGAAAAACAACGGTGGTGGTGAATAACTCAGTGGGGACTATACCGTCGTAATGCACCCTCGAGTCGGCTTAAATGCACCTCGGAGCGGGACTTCCTCCCCAGACCGTGGTGGTCCAGCAGCTTAGTAACTAGTGCGAACCTGAACTTAACCGTGCTCACTATCATGGGTGCTGTAAGTAGCACTTATGGAAGCCGTCAGGAGGTGCACTGTACGTGTGCCAGAAGTCCCTCATGTCTTCTCGTTTCCAATGAACATGAGGTAAAGGCTGTAGACCCTCGGTTACGAACTCGAATCGTTCTCCAGTAGTGTTCAAGGGATTACACACCTAACAAGCCACGGTGGAGCTCGATAGAATTTGTGAGGAACGCTTTCGAGGAACACCGGATGGAGTTTGTGACCCTGAACCAATCACGAGTGGCGTTGGAGACAATCAACACTATCGATTCACTCGGACGGTGATTGCACACGACTGTTATCCTTCCCGCTCAGGTTCGACCCCAGCATATTACCGCCACCGCATACCGAGCCTGGGTCGACGCCGATGCCATATTGGCATTCGTTGTGATGTTGTCATCCATTGCAATGGAGGAGACCAAAAACCTATGTACACAAGATTTACCCGAGCCCATGAAACAACTCCAAAATATACTCCGCAGTGGTGGTGCATCAATTCGTCATGTGTCCACCTCAATGAGAGGAGGCTCAAGCGATGCACTTTTGGTTTTTGGTTCGAGCTCCTTCTTGACATATTGGGTTGTCTGCCAGCGCTGGATCTCCAGTAGTTCACTGGGCTGAGGTTCGATCCGCGGCGAGAGGATCTTTGCACGACCGGTGGCTGGTCCACCCAATGTGTATGTGTTGAGTACAGACTTCGAATCGAAGTTAAGAATCCACTCGAGTGAAACAGCGGTTCTCGCTTTAATCCAATACTCATACTTCGGAATCGTCCACATTCACCCTGGAGGATCGCTGTGGGTGGTGGAGAAGAATTGAGTCCTCGGGAAGAAGACAGCCTGATCAACCCAAGTGCGCAGATGGTGATCACATGGGCCTGCGCGCTTTCAGCGGGTGGTGACTTAGGGGTCGCTCTATAAGCCGATCTCGAAACTCAGACTCGATTCTCACACGAATAATAGTCTGAATTTCAGTGATGATTCGATGAACACGTAAGCGCTTCTTTGGACACATCAACTTTCTTGTCCAAAGTTAAATGCTTGACAAGGTGTCCATTACTCAACCCATGGGCTATGTTTCGACAACTTGAAACGTAGTGGCGCTCGCCCGAAAATGTACAAATTGGACAAGAAATGTCGAAAGCAACACCATGGGTGATCTTTGGACAGGTTTTTTGGACAACAAATACGTGTCGACATGTCCAGAAGGACATCCAGCCTCTTTTGGACAACATCTTGTCCAAGTGATGTCCAAAGGTGGATTTGTCTGCATTTCCCTCGAAAACTTGTCCAAAGCTTGTCGTTGGCACTTTTGGACAGTTGATGATGAGTTGATAACGCTATCTTGCAATCTCGAAGCTTTCACACTTAGCGATATTAGCATAGATGATCAATGGCACCCAATTACGTTTGGATCACATTGATTGCAAAGCTTCAACAGTTTATCTTCAAACGCATATGTCTTTCGGTCCCGTACCTTGCAATTGTAAGCAAATTGTTTGATACAACACTACATATAAAGGCACGCACGTTTGGGCGAACATGTTTACTCATCACACACGCATGTAAATCAGATTTACTAGATCTCATTGAACATTTAGGAGTCATAACCTTTCGAGGCAACTGGGGACGGATTTAACGTGCGAATGTTTAACGGCTATACGTCATTCAATATTTCTCACTAGATTCAGTGGAATGATCGTTTGGAGAAGTCTGGCGGTTAGGGATAGTTTCTTCGTGGCACTTCTCCTGGTTCGGAAGTCTCGAGACCTCTTACGCCCTAGACCAATCACATCATGTACTGAACTCACTCGGATTATCCGAGTCGGATATCTGGTATACTCGGGATTCTCGGGATTAACATGCGAGTTCATACACGTGATATAAGTATACAACACGAGCTCTTTAAGTCAGTCATTGGCTGAGCATAGCTGATGAAGCGTGTACACACCGATTTTTTACACCGTCTGTCTCCCGCGATATTTTGAGCGTTGAGGTTGGCATAGATTTCTGTGTTGAGTTTAGTGTGATATACACTTCCGGTGCGAAATGGCAGTCGACTATTGGTCCGCACCTGATTCTAGTAGAATAATTCCACGTTGCACTTGTATTGTGTTCGATAATAACATTGTTAGATCGTGAGTATTGAAACACAACATGATAAGGGCATTTAAAACGGTATATCTGATTATAGCCTGGTATATCTGGTTATTTTCCTACTGGGAACGGGAATGGGAGTTTGATAATCTCACGGATAATCTCACTAATCTCTCCATAAGTTAGCGAGTAATGTATAAACTCAACTCATAACGATCAGGAAAAGGATTGATTACGGCTGATGAAAATTGATAATACTGATGTAAACTGATTGCATTACAGACTTTGTTATTGGATAGGAGTTCTACCTCCAAATACCTCGAGTACAATAGATAACATAAAATACTTCGGAATGCTACGAATACTTACAGCTTCGCAACGAGTCGAAATAATAGACATGCCGTGTTAGAGCAGCTGATACGACAAATGACTATTAAAGTTTCGATCCTTCTATTTCAAAATACTTCACATAGAATGATCGTCCGCTATCATCACGGTTCTCACTTAGCTCTTCATCTCCTATCTCATACCGAGAGTCAGCCACATTGATACACAGTATTATGCCCTTATTGTCCATCCATAAGTCAGATATTTGCACATCACGGAACGGAGAAAGACCATACGAAGGGGTCATGAAAATTATTGATTCGGTGCACAAATCTACGATCATGCCCTTCAGACCATGTCCACGAGACGCGAATGCACATATGTATGTGTCATACAGAAAGCAAAGACCTCCTATCTCATATCGATGGCTTGGCAGACTGATTCCGCACTCGTTAGCAAGATCTGTTCCCACATACCCGAATATAACAGGATGTTCAGCTGGTTCTATGGTTAGGACAAGTTGTGACAGTGGTAATCTTCTACCACCAACCCCTTCGAAGTTGCAGTCAAAATGGCCCACCTCCAAATCAAGGCGCCACAGCAGAACCCATGAAGGAGCAACTTTGGACTCGGATAAATCCAGTCGATATACTAGTGTGCGTACTACTAGTGTACTAGTGTACTGCTAGGAAATGCCGGTACACTATCCTTACTGCAGTCTCAGCCATAATGCAAAAACAACACCGACTACAAGATTCCCTCTCTCTCTCACTCGAAGCCGATTTCGGCTAGGCGGCCAGCCAATGCTTCGCACACATCAGCGGCTTTTGAGGTCTTCGATAGTCGGCGAGGGTGACCAGTCCATCTCCGTTGTTTTTTGGTTTTTTTGGTTTTTTTAACATCGCCATCTCATCTTATCAGCTGAGCTGATTCATCTCTCGTGTCGCAAAAATAAGAAGATTAATAGCCTCATCGAAAGCTAATACTATTAAGGAGCTATCAGGAATTACATTGTCAGATAAATTTGAAACATTTATGGGCGAGCGCATTCGAGACAGATGTCCAAAGGTAATCGGTGCCACATTCCGACACATTGTAGTCCAGATTACTAAATATTGTCCAAACATGTCCAATTGATCAGGAAGCTGTCCAAAGGTCGCTACAGGCGTAATTGGACAACTTCTTGATGAAAAAAATATATTCGACAACTTCATGTCCAAACTACTCCCTAGGGTAGTTTTTGGACAAACTGTCCAAAACTTAGTCATGAGATTCGTTTTGACATCCCTTGCTGTCCAAAGGGCTTTCGACAACTTTATGTCCAAAGTTGATGTGTCCAAAGGTCACGCAATCGATGAACATGGGGCTTAGGTCGCCCGAAAATTCTCGCTGCGCCCCAAAGATTACTGAATTCGCCTTTGAGCCACCTACTGTTTACCCGAATCAGCAAAAGGTTAACATGGACTTCTAGCAGCGTGACAGTATCCAGCACTAAAGTCTTCAAATTATCTCTTGTTACGTTCCAATGGTATCGAACGGTCTCGAAAGCATCATACTCTACAATACACGGTTTCATTGTTAGTAGTGTTGGATTAACGCTGTTGGTTCACCCACTACAAATAATGATGGTCATGAACTGATTGAACCAACTACTTTAATCATAATGTTAATATTTATAATTAAAGTAGTTTGTTATGATAATATTGAGAATATTGGGCTTGGGTTTGGGGATGGAGATTTCTTACAGCGAAGTGGAGATTTCATCTCAAAGGTATTGATGTTTTTCCTGTTATCATCGCACGACTCGATACGACTACGAGGCACTGCTCGACAGCCTCACTGTACTCTAGGCTTTGCTAAATGAGCGAGGGGACGAAGTTGCGGACAAACCCGATCCCTTCCGCCACGGATTGAGCGTGGCGGGAGAAAGTCGTAATTATCTACGAAGCTCGAAGCTGACTCGTTTCTTACTCTTCAATGAATCTTAGGGGGGGGGGACAGCGGGGACAAGCCGGCTGTTCCGTTACTGCATGAACGCAAGAGCCGATTTTTAGGTAACAGGTTAGTGGTATACTGAAAATGGTGCAGCGATACGGTTTCCTCCCCTGCAGACTCCTGATTAGAAGCTATTGACGATGGACTCGCGTACAACCCAACAAAGCTTCTCCTACTAGGACTCAGATCCATATCGAAGTTATAGTGACGGAATAGACAGAAGATTAAGATCCAAATAAGAACCCCTGAAGTACGTAAGATACTCGAAATGTATCGAGCTGCAAAAATACGGACTTCGCAATGAACTCAACTCAACTCAGAATCGAATATCGGACGCGTCACAGACATATCGTGAGATCTCAGTTCTTCGAGTTCTCAAGTTCTTCACTATTTCTCAATAAGTCTGATAATGAGTATACGAAATAGAAAGTAGACATGGTCGTCTGAATGATTGACAACTATAGTAGAGTTGTCAAGCCTCGCGAAATCATCCTCACAAATTGATCGGTTGATGAGACTGATATGTTGGTAGATGACGATGAAATAATGAGGGTAAGCTCACACCACTCTTTTCAGGACCAACCGTTCTCCACACATCCACGTCTTTATCGCACCATCCTCGTAATCGTAATCTCCAAGGTCACCCATGTCTACGCGACCCTTGACATAGGCTGGGCATATCTGTTTGAATTTCTGCTGCATCTCTTTGAACGCAGGCGCCCTTTCATTGGCAACAGCGAAGCTTACATCCTCCGGAATGCTTGTTTTGAAATGGAAGGTGCCATGACGAGTCGTCGGCGACGACGCCACGAAGCCAGTAAAGAACCATCTCAGAATCCACTTAAGTAAGCCTCGTGATCTTGACTAAAACTCTTGAGGTCTCTGAGCCGTGTGCTCCGATTCGGAGCATACGGCTCCTGAATCGCATTGGATTCGCGGAGGCTGCCTCCGAACGGTCTCCACGTTGTTCTTGGGAGTCGTTGCTTTGTCGGTGGGGACTGTGAATTTCAACGGGCACAAGTTCTTAGCATGAGCAAACTAACAACGGAGAGCGAGCATGAAATCAATCCGATAGATGAGCACTAGTTGTTGCGAGTGAAGCCTCCAACTTTAGCGAACGTCTTCCAGGCGCGTCAAAGTAGCGTATTGTGGCCGCCTTCATGAGTCTCACCCCAGCCAGAATCAAAGTAGCTACACATGTGCCATGCAGTGCTGCCTACTGAGTTTGCACATGCGTACTAATTTTTGACCACATTTAACCGCTGAGGTTTGTCTCGAGTGCAACCGTGACCTATTCACAAAACTTCGATCTCCGAGATCGACTTCCTCGATTGGCACCCTCAATTGGTTATGCACGGTGAGGTGAAATCCTTAGACATAATTGGTCCTAGTCTCGTCGAAAGCGAAGCTGTGAAGCTCCCCACACAACAACTGGGGGCGCATTGCTGAAAGATGAAGTACACTGGGAATCTCATGATCGCGAATTTGTCGATGCTGTACGACCGATTCGCCGAGGTTGAGAACGGAGTTGCCAGCGGGAGACTCGACCTCTCAAGGTTGTTGAATGAGGAGTTGAGTACATTACCTCTGAGAGATCAGAAACGTCTTCTGCTATCCGTGCTGAGCGAAGTTCGTATTAGGATGTGTGTGACGTCAAGAAGAAAGCCTATTTCGCGCCACCAGCTCTGGTGGATAACAACAGAGGACAATTTTGAGTTAGAATAACCTCTTCGATCCCTGACTTTTTCTGTGAACCATTGATTCCATTATCAATTATCTCAACGCCATCGTTATCACCTTGTTTGGTTTCAAGAGGCAGTGAATGAAGCTGAGAAACTCCACTCCTAAAAACACGCTCGATGATGATATTGTAGTACGTCCCCGAGTAATACAGAGCCAAGTAGAGATGTTTCAAGGGACTTCATCTCACGAGTGGGATCACTGAACCACTAGGCCAGAAGCATCGACAAATCATTCTCCTGGTATTCGTTAGCTCAAGTGTTCAGTCATCGTAGTTGACCACCGATCTAGGAGTAATGGCAATGTGCTATTTTCGATTGTTGTGATGGGCCCTACTAGATGGTTCTCTCGTTGGAAAAATATGGTCTTGTCTCTACTGAACGCAATACCCAAGAGACCACCGGAACAACAACTACGATGACATGGTGGTGATTCTAGACTATTCTGGCACAAGCGAGTATGATGAACAAGAATCGTAAAACGACGACGAGGAATACCTGACCAACGTAAGCGCCTTCCAAGAGTGATCACCACCAGTATGCACGACTGATGACAAATTTGAAACTAGAAGCCTAGCGCCTTACGATCCGTAGGTGCTGGTATATGCAGTGGAGGAGCTCCCTGTCGATCCCGAGCTCCTCGAGTAGCAGGAGCTACAGCCATAGCTGGTAGACCTCGATGAGCGGGCAGGTGAGTGGTTGGAGAAGGTACGGATGCTCTTATCTGATGCTGATCGCGGAGGCTCGCTATTAGACCGAGGCAACTGAAGGTAGCATGAAGTGAGTCGACAACTTCAACTGCACCGACGTACTCCGCTCTTTGACCGCCCTGGTTTGCTGCAGGTAATGAAAGCCATCTCATCCTCGGGGTAGTTGCCGAACTGCATGTAATCTGAAAAGTTAGTGTTAGTGATGGTCCGGCCGGGTATATCCCAACCTGTCTTGTATTCCGATAAGCCGCCTAGAATAGCGTATGGCGGTTGGAGGTCATATAACACCTTGGGTCTGAGTATCGGTAGACAACGCTGGCTCGAGTGCCTGAAGTAGCAATACAACATCACATTACTGTGCAAAAAGTAAGGAATCGATCGAATAGCAGGCACTCAGTGAATAGCTTACCTTCTCATCCTCCTCCTGGACTTCCTCGAGCCCGCTACACTAACAACAGCATTGCATTTGCAGCAGCGGACGACCTTCCCGGCAGTCGAGGCTTCAGTAGCTGACATGGAGGCTCTCGATAAGCCAAAAACAACACCAGCTCCCAATGTGGGTTAACACAGAGCTTCACTACTAGTATGGACATCGGTACTCTGGTAAATGGTATACAATCATGTTTAGTGTTTCCGTTTACTCTCGAACTGGGTGAAAGAGTATGCCAACGGGCTCGGCTCGAGGCCCTTCCAGAAATCCCTCTCGTATTCCATCCTACGACCCATACTCCACTTCGGGCCCGGTATCTCCCTAGTTTGCTCGTATCCGCCGGGACCAGGACCTTAGCGACAGTCATCGGCCGATCGAGAAACGTCTAGCACTGACCTGAGTTGTCGAGGCCCCCGAGCATTCCTCGCCCCCTAGGGCCGTACCCAATGCCGGCACCTCTCTTTGCATCTATATTGCGTTCGAAGATACTCTTGATGGTGTATTGGTCTGAACCGGCGGGATCGTATTGTGCAGGGTTAGATGTTCATCATCCTACCTGGTCCTGGTTTATGAGACCTCAGTGAGAGGTCATGATGGCCCATACCAGGGCCAACAGCCCAGCCGAAGCCGGCCCTCCTCGTGTCGGTTCCAATGTTTTTATGACTGAACAGAAGCGATAGGACTACGGGTCAGCAATCGAGCCGACCTGTGCAAGTAGTGTGCCGGACCGGGAGAGTCATTGCCTGGCGTGTGATTAGCAGCATTACGTCCGGCCGCTGGTAGGGTGTACAGCTTTGAACTGGGGTTGAAAACTCGTGCCTCTGCAGCTCTGACAAGCAAACGCCGATGAACGCTACTTGCCGTTGTATACATACAGTTTTGGGGTGTAGTCAGTCGGGCCGGGGTTACGATGTCGCAAAGGTGTGGTAGTAAAACGGCTAGCGGTTTTGCTACCGAAGCCTCCTTTGGTACATCCCTCCATCATAGTCGACTGTAATGTATATGCTGCCGGACCTATCATGAATTCAAGCTGACACCTCAATTGAGCTCAGCAGTTACCAGGGGATCGCTGACTTGCCGACTTGTTCTGATGTGGAGGCCGCCTCGTCATCGACCAACTCGGGGCCTTCCTATAGGGCCCAGCCGTGATGAGGGTCGGCTCACTGAGCACCCTCTGGGGGATGCTACTCTTCACTGACTGCTTATCTTTCATACATCGATAGAGTCTAGGAAGGGTTTGGGAATCACATCGGTGCCCGATTATGAATCGATCTTGCGTTCTTGCTATCTCTTGCCGCTCCTCAGCAAGTATTTCCATTCGGTTCCGAATTGTAACAGTTATTGTTAAATTCTGACAGATACCTTGATTCGCTCCTATGTGTGTACATTCTCTACGTTATAAACAGCAACCGCATCCACACTCCGGCAAAAATTAGTATCGATTCCATGATGGAATTTCCATCTAGTATTGGTAAATGAGAGCGCGTTGAAAGACGTCAGGTACGGTATGAGAGCATTTCCTCCAAAGAATCTAACTCCCAGTCATATCAATATCTGCTATTGAACAGCATCACTATGACAGGATCGACTGTCATCGATAGCCTATCGGTCAGAATGTGATACGAGTACCCGGGGTACTGTACCCCCTTCCGACTGTTGTAGATGCCCGTAGAACTGTGCTTAACACGACAGCACAGTTGAGCCGAGAGGCAGAATTGTACTTGCGTACTCGGCAATAAGGAAAAAGCTATGGTAAATAGATCATTCACGTGCGCACATGTGGCGCGGCACAGCATATAACGGTATATGCATCGCAGAATCTATGAAGGCATAGCAATATCATAACACCGACCACACAGAGTCGTAAATTGAGGAGTTGTCCCAAACATGCAAAATCCCGACCCAAGCTGATGGCTTGCCAATTAGCCGGCCTAATGCACAAGAGCTCTCCTCAATATATCATAATTGTCAACAAAGACACGTTGCAGTTTTTGAGTAAGACTGAGTAATTTAAGGGCGGCGGATTGACTAATTTAGGGGCGGATTGAGTAATTTAGGGGCGGATTGAGTAATTTAGGGGCAGATTGAGTAATTTAGGGGCACATTGAGTAATTTAGGGTCGGATTGAGTAGTTTAGGGGCGGATTGAGTAATTTAGGGTCGGATTGAGTAGTTTAGGGGCGGATTGAGTAATTTAGGGGCGGATTGAGTAATTTAGGGGCGGATTGAGTAGTTTAGGGGCGGATTGAGTAGTTTAGGGGCGGATTGAGTAGCTTAGGGGCAGCGGATTGAGTAGTTTAGGGGCGGATTGAGTAGTCTAGGGGCGACGCCGGATCAGCGCTGGCAGCAGAGTCCATTTTGCAGTATTTGCGTATCTATCTATGATTTAACTCCCTGCAGTGTTCGCAGAGATGGCATAGGCGCCCCAACAAGGTTTACCGTTCCAAAGCCAAATGATGAAATATCGTTGCATATCGCTAAGTTGGACCCACGATGGCATAGGCGCCCCAACAAGGTTTACCGTTCCAAAGCCAAATGATGAAATATCGTTGCATATCGCTAAGTTGGCCCCACGATGGCATAGGCGCCCCAACAAGGTTTACCGTTCCAAAGCCAAATGATGAAATATCGTTGCATATCGCTAAGTTGGACCCACGATGGCATAGGCGCCCCAACAAGGTTTACCGTTCCTAAGTTAGATGATGAAATATCGTTGCATATCGCTAAGTTGGCCCCACGATGGCATAGGCGCCCCAACAAGGTTTACCGTTCCTAAGTTAGATGATGAAATATCGTTGCATATCGCTAAGTTGGCCCCACGATGGCATAGGCGCCCCAACCAGGTTTACCGTTCCTAAGTTAGATGATGAAATATCGTTGCATATCGCTAAGTTGGCCCCACGATGGCATAGGCGCCCCAACCAGGTTTACCGTTCCTAAGCCAAATGATGATTCATCAGAGCACGGCTTAGAACCTCTTCCGAAGTGCGAGTGCAAGTGTTTTCATCATTGATGAAACATCGTTGCATATCGCTAAGTTGGATGATCGATAGACGGAAACACTCCCGAAATGGAATCTGCCAGCACGTTTCCCTATATACACCTTTCTCCATGTCGTCATACCTTGTCTAGTATGAAGAGTATGCAATTGATTCAACTACCACAGGATAGACCTCGTCGAGATCTTTGAAATGATGCCTGAGTTTGTCTGATATTCACATACGCTGGGAGATTTCAATGCGTGGGCCCTTTTATTCGATCTCAATATAAGAGCTAGGATGATCATTCACATATGAATTCAAACACCACTTGCATTGCTGAAATCGGGAATTCAAATCGAGATAGAGATGAGTAAGACACCATGAGATCTACAAAGTAACACAGTCAGGGTGTTGTCGACAGCATCCATGCTGATACAACAACCGCTGTTATGCAGAGATTATCATATTGCCCGCCGATCGCTTCCATCAATGCCGTGACCAACGCCACCTAAAGCCACAAAACCTGCGTACTCTGATCGACCATTTACAATCGTACAAATAGTCGGGGAAGTGCTCCAACCGGGGAGTGTAATGTAAGAAAGGTGACCACTAGCACAGCTGCTGAGCCGAAAACTGTCTTCGTGCCCATCCACGGTGGGTTGAATCTACCACAGGGGCAGATCTAGAGGCCTTTAATTCTAAAAAAATCTCACTGTGGTGCTTTTCGAGATACCCATCGTCCCACGACCGCTCCCGCCGGGTCAGCAAAGAAGATTGGCGCTAAGACAACTATCGGGAGCTCCATATAGTACCATACCCTGATACCAGAGTACCCGAGACTTGAGATTGAAGACTCACCCCAGAACGACTAGGTAGACAGTAATCCCAACATCGCCATAGGTGCCAAAACGCCAGTTGGGCAATCCTGGGATGACTTCCCACGTCATGATCAGACTCGAGACCATCAGCCCGTAAATAAAGAGACGATTAATGAAATACCTTCGGCCATCGATACTAAGCTGGTAGAAGACAAGAGATCTTACTTGGAGTTCAGACACAGCATGAGCAGACCTGTACCGGCATGGCACAACTTCCTCGCGGCGAATTTCGAGAAGTGTTGCTTGTCAAACTGATCTGATGCGTTATCTGCTCACAATAGAGTGTCGGAACTACTTGTAATATCAGGAGGAAGACTCCTTCCAAAGCCATCAAGACGACTCCAACTGATATCGGGATATCGATATCATCCGGGACAAGCATTGCAGGCATTCTATCCTATGCTGAATGACGGGACTCGCGCCGTTCCATAACAACACAGCACCCGAGTGATGGTGAGAATCGATAATAATGAATGAAAAACTAGACTAGCATATTGGTAACTACTACTCGTATTCACCTAGCTGATCGGAAAAGGAGGCAACGCGTATAAATCCAATCAAAAGCATAACCAAGCGACGATAACAACAGCCGCTACATTGAGGTTGTCGAACCTGCTGCCAAGCGCCTCCGCCACAGACACGATAGAAGCAATCTGATGATGGTAATGACCATTGGGTGGGGACCGTAACTCACCAGGAGTCTAGGTAGGAAGGATGTCGGGGAGTGCAGAGTGATGAAGGCTACCACCAGAACAGCCGCTGAGCCTAGGACTGTCTTAGTGCCGATCCATCTCGGGTTCAGACTGAGCCGGAGGGGGGTCTACCATTAGAATAGAGAATTGCATGTTACTTCGGGATCTGTGATGACGCCCATTTGCCAACGATAGCCCCTGCCGGATCTGCGAAGAATATGGGAGCTAGGACCGCAATAGGAAACTCCATGAAATACCAATACCTGAGATGTAAGCTTTCGAATGCTCTACTGTTGCCGAGGTCTCACCCAACAACGAGAAGGTAGATGGTGATACCAGGATCCTCCAGAGCTCCGAAGCGCCAGTTTGGTATGCCGGGAACCAATGACCAAGTCATGATGAGGCTCATAGCCACTACTCCATATATGTATAAGCGGTTCACCAATAGACTGTACGCCAACGTCGTTGTGGCAACGGCTGCGAGGCTACTTACCGAGGAGTGAGGAAAAGCATGGCGAAGCCACTGCCGGCGTGACATAACTTCCTAGCCGCGAACAACGAGATGTGTTTTTCGTCAAACTACAGAGAATATACTAAGTGGTGACACGGTAGTGAGCAGAATCACCACCTGTAATAGTAGAAGGAAGAGAGCCTCAAAGAGCATTATCACCAGACAGGTGGAGACAGGTAAGTCAAACTCTGGTATGGTGGCTAACTCGACGACCATGATGATGATGGAGACCACGGAAAAACTATAGCAGCGTTTCACGTCAATTATTTCTATCATTTATATTATACACCCATAGACCAACTCAAAGTACAGAGTATTTCGGATGGACAAAAGGCTCGGTCGGTGAAATAAAGCTTGTCGTTACAAAGCATAAGGCGTTGGAATTCATCCAGGAGCAACTTTATGATAGAGTTCCGTTTCAGTTGCATGAATCGGTCATTGATAACACAACATTCGAAATACTAAGCGGATCGCACGATACTGAGCTTTCTGAGATCAGCTGGGAAAGGCGTCAGGCAATACAGAAGTTGTCGAATTGTCCACCGTCTGAGGAAGATATTGCATCATCCTAGAGGTCCCGGGTTCGAATCCCCGTCGGTCAATGCTGGGAACTCGTTGGCCTATATAGTAGGGCAAATACAGAAGAGCGCTAGGGACCCTAAATTCATGGTCTGCAAACCTCATCTGAAAATGACATCATCAATGCACGAGCTATATAAAGGTTCAACGTTATTCCTTAGGTAGATGCCTGAAGGCGCACTTGCCGACCACCGCTCCACTATGTAGTTCGATCGATGCCCGATAGTGGGCCCCACGCACAGGTAACCTGTCGAGGTGACGCACAGATTATATGGACCGATTGAGAGCCAACATATATTCTAACACTGCTACCAATGGCCTCTGTTGGAGCTACAGCACTGGCGACGAACCACGATAGGTTGCCGGAACGCCACGTAAGGCTGGGAACAGTTGCGATGTCACTACTACTACTGCGTGGGGATGGCAGGGGAGGTACTTACCATCGAGTCATAGTACACATACTTACTGTAGACGTAAGGAGAGTATTATCCGCCCATCTAGGAAGTGACACAATTAAAGGGATGAGGACTCAGCCTCCCAAACAGAGCAAAAATCATACTAATTTGTTTTTTCAAATCCAACCAACGCGTGTCCATGGCGATGGTGGTGGCTTTCACCAGTCATAGTGCACTCTATAGAATGCAACTGCATTGGGATATGCATTATGGTATATTGCTATCTGTGATACAACGAGGAGTGAGATCCTCCCATTATCATTAAGATCTCCATGAGCTGAAGAAAGCCACTAGAATGAATTCCTTAGAGATAATTGTGGAAACACGGCACACCGGGCGTGCGCTATTACCGTTAGAAAACTTGAAAATTCGTCAAAGAATGGGAGCAAGACTATCCAAAGAAACGCCAGGGCCTAAGGGAATCCTCATCGCCAGCCTAAGTGCTCAGCCGTCGAGTCTCCATCACGGTTGCGTTTGCTTGACCATGTCTGTTTCTATTTCGACTAATCGAGTTGTTCCGCAAGGTGCCGAACCCGATGTAAGGAAACAATACATCGCATGTGCAGGTCATCCCACGTTGCTCTTAGGAACGGTCCGTCGACTCGCACTTCGGAAGAGCTTCTAAGCCGTGCTCTGACGAGAAGCAGTAAACTCGATCATCAGTGTTCAGGGATCATCGCCCTTTTCAGGCAAAAGAGAACTGCCAATTGTCCTATTGACCGCGGTAATCGTCGACGCATGATCCGCGGTGCCGAGCTCGTTATACGCCGCCCTCGACCGCCTCGACTAGCACCCACCGACGAGGAAGAGGCTGCTAAGCGAGTAGCCATATCCCCCACGGGCCAAGTGAACGCAGATGCCCTTACGAAGAAATGCGTTGATGAACTCGGCGACGACAGTGCTATTCCCACACCAAGTGAGACACTTGTTATTCACCTCGTTACCCTAGGGTTTGCGACGAGGAATTATGCGGGTTGACCTCGGTATTAGTGGAATATATGTTTGCTTTCCTTAGCTGATCTCAGGAGTTTCCTCGCCAACTATAGGAGTTTATATGAGAGCTGCGGTAGAAGTGTCAAGAAACCAACGAGAATCTCCCAAAATTTCGTCAAAATCCTGTTATTGTCACCAACATATGGAGTCGACCATGCGTATATTTTCCCACGCTGGTCAAACTCTACTAATGGTCAATGCATTATTCAGTCCCGAAGTATTGTGATTTTTCAATGCAAAAGCCCGTTACCAGGAGTTGAACCTGTGGTCGTTGGTGTTGTAGGTTGTGTACATAACCTGTCGAACTATTCACATGGTGATATTGTAGGCACAAGCACCGACTCTCCGGCATCAAGCAAAGAGGGAAGTCTGAATTCCTCCATGTTGGAGTACCTCTTATTCGAGCTCTCATCCTCATCATCCGCGTCTGATCACGGCACCGACGAAGTCCTTTTCGAGGGATTTATATCGGATGATGATACTCCTCGTTGAATAATCGATTAATTTGTTACCCATCCGTGATGGTGTTCCGATGCGATTACTTATCACCGTCACCACCATCGCATCATTGTCCTATCTCGGAAGAGAAGCCCATCGTTTGAGTCCTGCTTGTGTAGTAGTAGTTGCTGCCTGATTACAGGTTTGATCACTCCTCGAATTTGTGCTGTGAGGCACTTTGCACATTACAAGTTCTATTGTGTTCAACAGTATAGTAACAACAACAATACACACATCCATAGAAACGCTGTAACGGAAAGTGCGCATGCTCATCATTTCTTCGTTTTCGTTGCTTTATCATCCTTCCTGCTCTCACTGCTATCGTATCGGGAATTTGCACGTGCCCATCGACCGCTCTTCCTGTCCCAAATGACACTGAACCTACAACAAGCAATTTCGAAAGAAACAGAGGGTAGGTGATTTCTTACTTATACTGTCCTTCCACGAAGACGCCATAGACTCTACCGCGGTCTCCATAGGTCGCCAAGAACTCCTCAACGGGCTGCCCAGACTTATATGCGAATTCCACCCGATTGCCAAAAGCATGGTAACTCGTCTGCAACCTAAAGGGAACTAGATACCTCCTTATAGCGATCAGACTCACCTTGGTGGTTTTATATTCTTTCCATCCGACTTCATGCGAGAGGCGAGCTTCACTTCTCGACCTTTCACCTTAGTCATGTCCAGAAGAGTCAATTCCTCATCTAAAGAGGCGAACTCATCAGTTATTAAAAACACGATGTGCTCACGATTGTTTTCTTCCTTCCGCTTCTCCTCATCAGCTCCACGATCATCAACGAATCGATCATCAGTCTTCTCCTTCCCCAAGTGCGGACCCTTCTTCGGCCGGACGCCACTTTTCATCAATTCCCGCACTGCTGAGACTAGATCGTTCTTCTCAAAACACAATTCGGCCTGAGGGAAATCTCACTCACTCGCTATTGTAACCCTAAGGCTACCTTCTTGGCCATACCACAGTCCTCCAACCACTGCTTCAACTCACCCGCCGACCACGAGGACACCGCCTCCACCTCCTCCGCTGTCGCTGGCGGCCCTGCATCATCAGTCGCATCTAGGAGCGATTTCATGGCGCGCGAAGTTGCTCGAAAACTCACCACTGTCTCCAGCAGACGTGGTAGCTCCTGCTCGAGTGGGTAGAGTCAATTTCATGTCTGACAATATCTCATACCTACAGCGGAGCGAAACCATACAGTGTTGGAGGAATATATGTTCGCTTTCCTCAGCTGATCTATATATACGAATTAGAATTTGAATATCATCCGATATTTCTTTAAATTTCTCATATTGTCACCGACACATGTAGTTGAAGATGTGAATAGTTTGCAAAACTGAAACCATACTTCATCAGTTTCAGTTCGGGTCAGTTCACGCGAGTACAACAAGAGAATGCACAATCATCCTCGAGAGCGTCAATCTTGGTGATGAAAAAAAACTACAATTCCAGGCCAAGTTCACCCCTTCACAACCTAGTACACAATCGTACTTCATCGCTCATCAGGATGATTTTTTCCGACGCCTACCGATGCTTTCGATCATTGAAAACAAACCACGGCTCGGTGCTCTTCATGAGGTCGAAAGCGTTGGAGCACTCTGGATCGTCCAGGAAGGCATAACACAGGTTAGTATCGCGCAACTGTGAATGCAGTTTCCAATCATTGAATCTACCACAACATACTCAAGTGATCAACTTCACGAGGGAGAAAGTCCGAAGGCGTGCGATAGGCGAGCCGTGAAAAATGGCATAACTCGAAATTCAACGAGTGGAAGACGATGAAAATTATCTTCCCCAGGGTGATCGCCATTGCTATTCCCAACAGTTTGTTGTAACCTCCTACTGAACAGTTTTGACTATCAGCTACATGGGATAAAAACACCGACGGAATTTACCTTTCAGAGTAATAGAGGAAGACTGGCCATCGTTCATTGCCGGATATCCGCCTGTACGCTGGACGGCCATTGAAAATTCCAATTCGCTTATACGTCCCTATTAAACAGAGACAAGAACCCACAGCAGCCTGTGGAGGCTTACCATTCAACAACGCCGAGTGATAGGTGTGAGCAGTTGCTATATCCACTACTGAATGCCCTGCTGTTGCCTTAGGCTTGCGATCTCGCGGATTCATATTCTGTTAACGAACATAAAATAACGAACTAAGAGTGCTTTCAAGCACCCAGATATATACATTTTCGGCTCTCTGTGAATAGCAGATGGATAAGATGAATAATCCTGAGCAAACCCCAGCGGTCACCTCGTCCGCGTATCTAGCGTACGCTCTACGAGCACTCTCTCGCTCGCGTCTTCGCTCCTTAGGACTGTTATTCCTACGCCTCTCGAAACTAACACCAGAGCCTTGCACTGCCACATCTGTGTTATCTACACTTACATGCGTTCCTCGTCACTCTCATCAAAGTAGTCCTCATCCTCAGAGTCCGACTGGTAATACTGAGCCCATTGACCGCTACCCTGTCTACGCTGAGTTCTCTTGAACCTACCATAGGCTTACAGAAACCAATGATAAGTTAACATCTGTATTTGTAATATTATAATTAGTCAGTGCTAGTAGGTGTCACCAATCACCACCTCAAATTCGGTCGAACACCCTATTGAGCTTCCTCATGAAAACGATAAAGGTGCTCATAAAAGACTTGTACTTCTATTAGAAATTTTTC